ATCAGGTCATTTTATTCAATCTTTTTAAACCTTTTTTCTTGTTTGTAAAGTGGCAAGGATACCAACTGAGACTCATAGGTTACTGGGAAGATAGAAGTCATGGGCAGCCCTGGGCTTTACACTCAGTGAGTGCCTGGCCCTCAGTCGACATTCTCACACAGTGGTGGTCTTCCTGCCCTTACTCCCTCCATGAGAAGAAAGAACTGTGTCACAGACAGTGGGGTCAGGATTTCAGCAGAGCCAACCACGTCCTTATGAAGGATATAGTCTGTTTAGAGAAACCAAAGAAATGCCACAGGGAGGGAGGATAGAGTAAGAAAATTATATTAACGTCATCGTCCATTAAAGTTTTCCGAAGACAATTTGCGAAACCTTTTCCCAGCCTTTGTCACATAGCCTGCTTATTTCAAGAAATATTTGGGGACGCCTGGGTGGCTCAGTCACTTGAGCATCTGCCTTCCGCTCAGGTCATGATCCCAGGGTCCTGGGATCGAGTCACACATCAGGCTCCTTGCTCAGCAGGGAACCTGCTTCTCCCTTTGCCTGCAGCTCCCTCTGCTCGTGCTTGCGCTCTCTCTCTCTCTGGCAAATAAGTAAATCTTTATTAAAAAAACAAAACCACCAGTGCCTTTCTAAAAAAAAGAAAAAAAGAAGAAAAATATTTGATGAAATTCTAATGTACAAAAGAATTTCATTCCCGGAGGCTCCTTGTAGTAGAATTTGACTTATCTGCCTTAAGCCTCTAAGTGCTAGAAACTTTGGGGAAAGGAACAACAGAAGTGAGGTGTGGCTAGAGGCAGGACTTTCTAAGGGCCAGTCTGGCACAAGATTACAGTGGTACCTTTAATCTGATACACAATACAGTTATGCATATGGCCTTATCAGTACCCCCTGGTTATTTGCAGGATTGGGCCTTTAAGAAATATTCAGATGAGGACTTGATTGATTGACAACCGGGGACTAAATCCTCCCCCTTTTCATTTTGTTGGGGAGGGCTGATTAGAATTAAATTAGGTGCTGGGGGCGCCTGGGTGGCTCAGTTGGTTAAGCGACTGCCTTCGGCTCAGGTCATGATCCTGGAGTCCTGGGATCGAGTCCCACAGCGGGCTCCCTGCTCAGCAGGGTGTCTGCTTCTCCCTCTGACCCTCTTCCCTCTCATGCTCTCTGTCTCTCATTCTCTCTCTCACAAATAAATAAATAAAATCTTTAAAAAAATAAAAAAAAAAAATTAGGTGCTGTAATATAAAACCAGATTGGCAGGTAGCAGTCACTTGGTAAATGACAGTTACTATCAACAACCATAGCTTAAGTCCTCAGAAGCTTTCTGAATTAATTTTAAGTTCTTTGCATGTGTTTATTAGCCCCTTACAGTATATAGACACTCCACACACCAAAACAGCTTTCTTCTCGGAAAGAAAGTAAATGTACCATGGGTCTATCTTCCTCAAATCTATAAAAATTGTTATTTCCTGTGTTCTTTGTAGAGCTGGTGGAGTTGAGATCTATAATGGGGATCGTAAAATAAAAGTTTCCAATACCCTAGAAAGCCGGCTGGATCTCATAGCCCAGCAGGTGAGTGTGGGAATATGTTTTATTAGTTGGTCTGTTGTTACTTTGAAGTGGTGCAGAGAACATATGTCCATTCATTGGTATTTGGGGTTTGTCACTCTTCCTACATTTTGCGGCATTTTCTTGAAAGGAATGTGCAGTAGGCATGCAGCGTTTACTGAGGGGACACCATTTACATGAGAGTTAATTTGAGGTCGAATGAGGGTTTTATTTAGGATTCTGATGTATACATTTTACTACATGTAGAGATGCTGCCCAGAGTTCTTTCTCCAGTAAGAATGATGGGAACTAAAGTAAATATTGTTTAAAGGAATTGCCATAGGGCTGCTGGCTCTTCAGATGTTTCCAGGTTTGTATAAATGAACTCTAGGAAACAAGCCAGAAAAATTCAGGTGTCTCAAAATGCTGAGCCTCTTTCAGCAGCGGTAGTCTGCTGCTGTGGCTGCTAGCTTGTCTTAGAGCGGAAGCACTTTGACCTTGACTATCATCTTCTGATAACTTAAACCCTAAAGCTGTGTTCACCATTTCAGTAGCCGATACCCACACATGAATAAATTAAAATTAAGTAAAATTAAAAATTGAGTCCCATGGTTGCACTAGCCACATTTCAGACACACAGTAATCACATGTGGCTAGTGGCCTCTCTGGACAGCACAGCCCGAGAAGTTTGAGAAATCCTAAGGATTTTTCAGTAGCCGTTAACGCACGAGTTCCTCAGCACAAACTTGCATTATGTGTTTTCTACCTGGCACGTACTCAGTCACACTCAGTAACTGTTGAAAGAAAGGACATAGGTGATCCAGAATATTAGGAGATAATATTGTTAAGGGATCGTCTCTTCTCCCTACAGCACAGTTTAACAGAAGCCTTGAATGGCTTTAGTTCTAGTTTTTGTGCTCATCCTCTTTAAGCAGGCAGTCATAACCCCAAATTTGTGATTGGCTAAGTTTCTAGCCAAGGATTCTGTTACAGTTTTTTTTGGATAAGTAAAGGTACAGACTTGCTGCACTTAGCTTTGTGGTTTCCTTCCCAGCCGCATAGGGGTTGCTGACTTGCCACTTGCAGTTAAGATATGCAGTGTTGGGGTGCCTGGGGGACTTAGTCGGTTAAGCATCCGACTTGTGATTTTGGCTCAGGTCATGATCTTAGGGTTGTGGGATTGAGCTCCCAGTCAGGCTCCCTGCTCAGCGTGGAGTCTGCTTCTCCCTCTCCCTCTCTCTCCACCCCTCCCCCGACTTACACTCTCTAAAATAAATAAAATCTTAAGAAAAAAAAAAGATGTGCTTTGCTTTCCAAATTCTCCAGTTGACAACACTTACTTATAAGAACTTCTTTCTTTACAGATGATGCCAGAAGTACGGGGAGCCTTATTTGGTGCAAATGCCAACAGGAAGTTTTTGGACTAAACCTTTGGGCGAGGTGGAGTTCATTCACTGCTCTCCTTCTGTCATGCGGAAGTTTCTGATACTTGAAGAAACAAGATATCTGTGGCTTCCCCTTCGCTGTTCTAATATTCTGTATTTATCAGTGGATCCTCTCTGTAGCTAATGCCCTTGGCCTAATTGTTAACAGGAGAGAAAGTTTCACTTATTATGATCAGGAAACCTCCTTAGCTTACTGAAAGTAGCACAACTTACATTTGCTTCTGTAGCATGAAAGTGAGGGTATCAGATGGTGGTTACCAGCGCTTCCCCAAGTCTCTGCTCTTCCTCTCATCTTCTGCTGTCGTTCTCGATTCTAGAGGTTGATGTGTGTGGTGTTCTCTGACATTCAGTCTCTGCTCTTTAGGCTTCAGATGCATGGGGCGCATGCATTCCTGCCAGCACTAGTAGCTTCACTGTTCACCTGTTTGGGCCTAGAAGCGTTCCTCATCTGTAAATGTGATTTAGAATCTAAGCCATGAATCGGTCTTATTTATTAAAACAAAAGGTTTACATGGATTTCATTGTGATGTATTATGCAAGGTGCTACAAGTTTGTGGTTTGCGAGGGAAAGTTCTTCCTGAGGTAGCTAGCCAAGCAGCGTTTCCCTAGTCCCTACAGTCGCTGGTTGACAGCGGTCACTACATGAAACCATCAGCTTTCTGTGTGTCCTCTGGCACTCCCTGCTTACGTCTGCCAGCCCCTTACTAGCTTTCACACAGACCACACACACGGGTGGTATTACCTGTCCTCCGGAGGGTTTGACCGCTTTATCAAGGAAGCAGTTTTACTAGCCTCGGCAGAGTTAGGAAGGCATCTGAGGGCTTACTTGGGGAGAAGGGTTACTGTGTATCAGGCCTAAACCCTTTCACAAAGGTCCTTTTCTTCCTCTCCTCCTCTGGCTTCCCGCCCTAGGCCTTGCAGCGGGGCAAAGGTGGGAGTCTAACTCGGGTTTGTCTCTGCGGTCTGCACTCGCACATGGTCAGTGTGACTACTGAGCCTGACCATTTTTCATAAATGTGACATTTGGGACAAGGCGGGGACTAACTAAGTGCCAACCCCTGGCACAGCCACTGTTTACTGAGGACCTGAGCCCCCGTGTTGCTGGCATCTCTCCGCAGCAGGCCTCTGGGGAAGGACTTGAGGCACGTGGGGACTGTCACGGCATACCTGTCTGGCAAGGCGATGCAGTTATGCAGGGATGGAACCAAGGCTGAAAATCTGGTGTAGCTGAAAGAGAAGGCACCCCTGCAGCTGTCCCGCAGCCTCCGCAGCAGTCATCTGTCCCGTGGTGGGACTGCTGCAGGGCTCATTCGGACGTAGCTCGGTTCTGAAAGGGACAGGGACAGTAGAGGGCAAACCATTCTCTGTGGCCCGTCTGCTTCTCCCACTAATGACAAGACGAGATCTGAATCCATTTTATTTAAAACCATGTTCTGTGGACAGTGTTCTGGGAGAGCTGTGCCTCGCAGGGAGGACCTGTGGGGGGGAGGGGAGGAGACAGCTGCCCTGACCTGGCCCCGGCCCTGGCTGCTTGGTTAGCCTAATCCCACAGCCATCTCATTCGAAAAGATCTGCTTGGTTTCCAACACAGTGCGGACTTAGAGGGCTTTCATTGTCTCCTTGAACTTCCGATCCTCCTTTTTCCCAAAATCAGTGCTAGAACTAACCATAGGTTATTTAATTCAGAATTAACAAAACTAAATCCTTAAACTGACTGAAGTATACAGAGTTTGAGTGTGAAGTAGAAAAGGAAGATGCAGAAATGACCCTTCTATCTTCACTTTGTGTTAAGGGCCTGCAGTTAATCCAACCCAAGCATGTACTGTTTCTGTTGAAAAGGAGGTGGTTAGGGGCTTCTGAAGCTCCCCGGTAGCTGCAGCCCCAAAGAGAATGAACGAAGATAGGAAGGGAGAATGGGACCATACCTAACTTGCTTATTAGAGTAAGAGTTTCTTCTGAGATTGAGGTAGCACTACAAGTTAGAGAACAAAATACAACCTGGATGGGCCACCTTGCTCGTCCCCCTCTAGTCTAAGTCGAATGGGCTAGAGAGATGGCAGGGGACTTGGGCTCCAGCTATCTCTACTTGAAACACTTTAAGATCCGCTCCCCAATACCGATGAAGTAGACCCCTTGGGCAATCCCAAAGAGAGGGGCTATGACAAGGGCCCGGCAGCCTGCTCCCTTCATGAGGGCAGACGGTCCCTCCTGAATCCAGAGTTTCCTGTGGAGAGAGAAGAGCCCTGTGAGCTGATTGGCAAGAGTGCAGTGCAAACAGTATTAAGTGATATGCTCCCCTCCAACGCTTCTTCCCTTGGAGAGGTGTTATTTTCCACAGCAGTAGTAAGGCTCCCAGGGGTGCAAAAGCCTTGCCCCACCCACTGTGTGTGCACAATTGGGTTACTAAGCAGCTGGGTCTGGGCCATGGGAAATGGGCTCAGTCTGACTAGACTGGGAGAAATGCTGTAGGGATACAAAGGAGGAAAAGCTCCCAGTACATCCTGTTTTGTTGAGAGGTGAGGGGAAGGAACAGATTTCAAAGAAAGCCGGAGCTCAGCGTCGTAACGGTGATAAAATTGTCCTCCAGGTGGGGTGTTAGGTAGACAGCAAGGCAGCTTCCCCAGCCTTTGCAGGGCTGCAGGCCCCTCACCTGGCACAGTCGGTGATCCCACTGTAGCTGTCCTCACCCAGGCCTTTTTTGAGGGTTTGGATTCGAGTTTTCAAAACTAAAACAAAGGTTAAAATAAGTAGTGAACATCTTGCTTTTTGGTCCCCTCTCTCCAACATGAAGCTGTTTCCTATTAGAGCCAGCATGCACAAAACTGAATCCTGAGGCCAGTTTTGCCACTGTGTAACCTGTAATAGAAGATCCTCATTTATAAAATGAAGGAATTAGAAATGACCTGATCCTTCAGGTTACTCATACTTTAGAAATGTGCACCAGTGTGTTAGAGAAGCTGGGTGTAGCCCTAAAGATAGAAATGTGGTCTCACACTGTTTTAATTCCTGCCTTTAGCCTCAGGTTTGAAAACTCCACTGGGGGGACAAAAAGCTAATGAAATCAGCACCTAGAAGGTGAGGGGATTTGTCAGGGATAAGAGAGTGAAGGTCTCCTTGGCTCCACTTTATCTGGGAAGACCCTTGCTGAGTTTCTGCCCGTGGCCACAGGTTGCCACAGTTGGAGCGGTTTCATTTCTATCTGAAAAGTAGATGACAATCTTCTAGACAACTGTACAGCTGTCTGACTTGTAAAGTGAGCCAGCCCTTGAAGGCCCCCCATCTCTGACGCACTTACCATCCAGAGGTGTTACTGCGACAGCGGCTACGGAACCCGCAGCACAGCCTGACATGAAGGAATGAGCGAAGGAAGCCTTCCCCGTGCTCTCGGTGACCCCGAGGTTGTTAAGGTTGGCAAACAGTGGGAAGTAGATGATGGAGAAGGGGATGTCTCTGTGGGAGAGGAAGCGGGATGAGCTGCCTGCTGCTCAGGGGGACCCCACCCCCACCCCCGCAGGCTCAGGCGGGAAGCCTTTCCCTAAGCCCCTGGGCCCGGCTGATGATCAGAGACAAGCCCACAGTTACCTATTCCTTCCCTGGCCCCCATGATAATGTGCAGCAGCAGAGGGCGGCTGCCTGCCCACCCACGCTCCCTGCGCATCACTGCCCTCCCAGCACCTGTAGGGCTCAGGTGGCGGACGGGGGGCCTGGGAGCGCGCGAGAACAGGTGGCAGGCTAAGGTAAGAGTGAGTGGGGGGAGTGGCTGGTGAAGAGCTCTAGAAGCTATGTGTTACAGGGAGTGGGGTGGGCAGGAAGGTGAAGTACATTGACCTATTGCCCAGTGATAGGAGAAAACTAGCCACTGGCCTGGCACACTTCTGATCAACTTTAAGGATTTTGGCCAAGTAGCAAAGTAAAATGAGAGGTCTCTGCTCCAAAGTCCTTTGTATATAGGGCATTCTTAGGTGCCTTTGTTCCACAGAACATCCCATACTCATGTGGTCTGGTTACTGGAGAAGGGGCCTCAAACTAGTCTTCACGCGCCCATCCTATGCAATTCTGCCCATTTCCGGACCAAATAGGAAGCCTGGAGGTAGTTTGCTCTCTGGGGTTTGAATGTTTCAGGAAGAATGCAGTGACAGATTGGGGCCGCAGTCCCGCTGGCCCTCTGTGCCCTCTCCCTGCTCCCCGGGGCCCTTCTGTGTCCCAAGTTCAGGAAGAAAGCTTCACCTGAGGAGAGTGGCGCCCAGGCCCTTGTAGAGACCGGCCAGGCCCTGGGTGCGGAGTAGCTCCCGGGAGATAAGGCTGGCAGACGGGCGCTTGTGGGCGGAAGCTGAACCCGTAGTGTAGGACCTGGAGGAGGAAGGTGCTGAGGCCAAGCCCTGATGATGAACTGCTGAAAGGGAGGACAGACCCCATCACGAGCAAGCACCCAGCAGGGAGTGTGCCTCCCGCCTCCTCACCCTGGGACAGCTCAGAGGTGAGGCTCACATCCCTACTAGAATTCTGACAATTGTCCGAATTTTATTTATTTTTAAGATTTTTATTTTTAAGTCATCTTTACGTCTAACGTGGGGCTCGAGCTCATGGTCCCAAGATCAAGTCACACGCTCCACCCACTGAGCCAGCCAGGCGCCCCGGATTGTCTTCATTTTAGAACATTTGTTTTTGGTTCCAAGGAAATCTTTCTAAGATCTGTGTCATCTAATATGTCATCCCCGCCGCACCGGGCACTTCCCAGGAGGCACAGCCCGCCCGGCCTCCTCCATAGGGAGCTACAGCAGCACCTACTCCAGCCCCAAGTCCTTATCCTCCCGTTAAAGCTGTGCTTTTGACCTGGCTTCCATTTCTAAACCACCTCTGAGCCTATTTACATAGTTTCGTCGGGCTGGCACTTTGGGACATCAGAGTCCCACTTCCTTCTGCCTAATGTGTAAAGCAGCAAATTATTTTTGTCCAAAATCTATCTCCTTCAGGCCTCCAGAGGTGCCTCCTCCCTCTGATATTCCAAGATCAGGTGAACACGGTCTTTATACCCTTCACATTTTATAGAATTTGATTTTTCATTTTAGTTGAATAATTCAGAGCCCATCACTGGATGAGTTCAACATCTAAGAAATAGAATGGAATTGTTTTTTTCCTGAGCATTTCAAGTACAGCACTTCAGTGTGGGTGAATTCCATTCATGACCACAGGATTCAATGTGCTGAAATCGTGTGACTGTTCGTTTTCTTAATTCTCCCCATTTGAGCAGCTTTGTCTAGACTCTACGGCCTTGCTCCAAGGAAGTGATTTCATGTCCCAGTTTTGTCTAACAGCCAGCAGGGCAACATCTCACACTGAGAAGCTGCTGACTGCACATCTGTTCCTGGGGCAGCGAGCAGGGCACAGGTCCAGACAATGAGCTTGAAGAAGGTAGTTCATTGGTGAGCTTTATCTTCCTCATAGCCTGCCTGATGTGCCCATAGCTCCCCCGTTCATTCCTAGCCCGTCTTTCCCTGCTTTTGACGTGGTTTAGGAATACTAACACTCTCACCCAAGTTGAAAAACAAAATGTGGGGTGGCTGGGTGGCTCAGTCGTTAAGCATCTGCCTTCGGCTCAGGTCATGATCACAGGGTCCTGGGATCGAGCCCCGCATCAGGCTCCCTGCTCCCTGCTCAGTGGGGAGCCTACTTCTCCCTCTCTGCCCCTATGTGTTACGGGGGGTGGGGTGGGCAGGAAGGTGAAGTACATTGACCTATTGCCCAGTGATAGGAGAAAACTAGCCACTGGCCTGGCACACTTCTGATCAACTTTAAGGATTTTGGCCAAGTAGCAAAGTAAAATGAGGGGTCTCTGCTCCAAAGTCCTTTGTATATAGGGCATTCTTAGGTGCCTTTGTTCCACAGAACATCCCATACTCATGTGGTCTGGTTACTGGAGAAGGGGCCTCAAACTAGTCTTCCACGCGCCCATCCTATGCTGTACCCATTAAATAAAGACTTCTAGGGGTAGAGCATGCAACTCTTGATGACCTCAGGGTTATAAGTTTGAGCCCATATTGGGTGTACAGATTGCTTAAAAAAATTTAAAAATCTTAAAAAAAAAAAAAAAAGACTTCTACAGGGACGCCTGGGTGGCTCAGTCGATTAAGAGGCTGCCTTCGGCTCAGGTCATGATCCCAGGGTCCTGGGATCGAGCCCTGCATTGAGCTCCCTGCTCAGCAGGGAGCCTACTTCTCCCTCTGCCTGCAGCTCCCCCTGCTTGTGCTCTTTCTTGCTCTCTGTCAAATAAATAAATAAAATCTTTAAAAAAAAAAAAAAAAGACTTCTACTGACCTGGAAAGCTAATTGAATCACACAGTCTAGCCAATGAGTGCAGAATGTGGGGAAATCTATTCTGATCATAGCCCTTTGCTAATCCCATGTGAAGTCGGGATAGGCCTCACCCAAGCGCCCAGCATCCTGCAGCTGAATCTTGAGCATTTCCATGGGACAGGTAACCACCACCTGGCATATTCCAGCTCCACATCCAGCTAGCATCTCCATCTTCAGATTCCGCTGCATCCTGTGGGACCGTGAGTCAGGCTCCTTCAGGCCAGCCCTGCCACCCACCCTAGCCCATCTACCCAAGTCCCTTGGTAGTTGGGACTTTCCGTGCATGGTACTCAGCCTCGTTTGGATCAGCTGCCACTCACCCAGCTGGGTAAATCATCACCTGGCCCTCAAACACAGTCTCCTTAAAACATGAAGCTAAATTTAAAACAGGTGCCAGGGAGGTAGATAGAACCTGCACAGAGGTTGAAACTAGTGCATTCAAACTACCCATTGCAGGGATATGATTGTCCCCAAATCCCTGAAGCAGTATCACCAGGGCAATGGGAGGCACAGAGAGTACTAGAAAGTGTTTCGGGGCTGATTTTTAAAAATTCATCAGTATAATAAGTGACATATAAATCAATGGAACAGAATTAAAAACCCAGAAATAGAGCCCAGCATATACAGTCGTCAGCTAATATGTGACAAGGGAGCCGAGAATACTCCGTGGAGAAATGACATTCTCCTCAATAGATTGTGCTGGGAAAAATCAGATATTCACATGTAAAAGAATGAAACCAGATCCCTATCTTACACCACTTACAAAAATGAACTCAAAATGGATTAAAGACTTAAATGTAAGACCTGAAATGATAAAACTCCTAGAAGAAAACACAGGGGAAACCTCCTTAATGTCGGTCACCTAAAGCATAACATGAACAAAAACAGACAAGTGCGGCCACTTCAACCTGAAAAGCTCATGCAGAGCGAAGGAAACCATCAACAAATTAAAAGGCAGCCTATGGGCCGGGAAAAAAATACTTATACATCACATATCCAATGAGTTAATATCCAAATATATAAAGAACTCAAAACTGGATAGTAAAAACAAAAAACCCAAATCAAACAACAAATAATCCAATTAAAAAATAGACAAAGGACTGGAAAAGATATTTTCCATAGAGGATATTCAAAAGACTAGAAGGTACATAAAAAGGTGCTCAACATCACCAATCATCAGGGAAATGCACATCAAAACCACAGTGAGCTATCACCTCACACCTGTTAGAATGGCTAGTATCAAAAAGACATAAGGGGCACCTGGGTGGTGCAGTCGTTTAAGCGCTGGACTCTTGATTTTGGCTCAGGTCATGATCTCAAGGTCGTGGGTTAGAGCCCTGTTCTGGGCACTGCCCTCACTGGGGAGTCTGCTGGAGATTCTCTCCCTCTCCATCTCTCCCCCACACCCCGCTGTCTCTATCTCTCAAATAAATAAATACATCTTAAAAAAATAAGATGGGTGCCTGGGTGGCTCAGTTAAGCATCTACGTTTGGCTCAGGTCATAATCCCACGATTGTGGGACCAAGGCCCGCACTGGGCTCCCTGCTCAGCGGGGAGTCTGCTTCTCCCTCTCCCTCTGCCACTGGTGATCTCTCTCAAATAAATAAAATCTTTTAAAAAAATAAATGGTAGAATGGGAAGCCATCTGGGGCCCAGGACTTTTTGTTTTTGTTTTTTTAAGATTTTTATTTATTCATTTGAGAGAGAGAGAGAATGAGACAAAGCACAAGCCAGGGGAAGGGGCAGAGGGAGAAGCAGACTCCCCACTGAGCAGGAAGCCCGATGACTCAGGGCTCAATCCCAGGACCCAGGAATCATGACCTGAACTGAAGGCAGATGCTTAACTGACTGAGCCATGCAAGAGCCCCATCTTTAAAAAAAAAAAAAAAAAAAAAAGGGACAGATGATAAATGCTGGCGAGGATGTGGTGAAAGGGGAATGCTGTGCGCTGTCGGTGGGAATGCAAACTGGTGCAGCCACTATGGGAAACAGTGGCCTCCATAGTATGGAGGTTCCTCAAAAAACTAAAGAGAGAATTGATCTAGCGATTCCATTTCTGGGTATACATCCAAAGGAGAGGGAATCACTATGTTGGTGAGCTATCTGCACCCCCATGTTCACTGCACTACTGTTCACAAGTGCCAAGATTTGGAAACAACCTACGTGTTCATGGACAGATGGATGGATATAGAAAATGTGGTATATATACAATACAATATTATTCAGCCATAAAACAGAAGGAAATGCTGCCATTTGAGACATGGATGGACTTCAAGGGCATTATGCTAAGTGAAAAAAGTCAGACAGAGAAAAACAAATACTGAGTGGTCTCATTGACATGCAGACTCTAAAAAAAATTCAAACTCATAGGGGCTCCTGGGTGGCTCGGTTGAGCATCTGACTTTGGCTCGGGTCATGATCTCAAGGGTCCTGGGATCGAGCCCCACGTCGGGCTCCCTGCTCAGCGGGGAGTCTGCTTCTCCCTCTCCCTCTGCTCCTCTCCCCACTTGTTCTCTCTCTCTCTCAAATAAATAAGTACATTTTTTTTAATTCAAAGTCATAGAAAAAGAGATCGGATTTGTGGTTATCAGAGGACAGGAATTAGGTGAAGGTGCTCTATAGGCACAAACTTCCAGTTACAAGGTAAGAAGTACTGGGATGTAATGCAGCATGATGACTATGGTTAACCCTGCTCTACAGTACATTTGACAGTTGCTAAGAGAACAGATCCTAAAAGTTCTCATCTCAAGGAAAGAAACAACTTTTTTGGGTAACTATAGGAAGTAATGGATGTTAACCTAACTTATCGTAGTAAACATTTCACAGTATATGTCTACAAATCATTATACCGTGCATAACTATGCACTGCACAAACTTATACAGTGTTGTACTACAGTTATGTCTCAATAAAAATGAAAAAAATGTTCATCAGCTAGTTGATGAATATATGTATAGTCTATAATGGTCTATCATCTAGAACTTTCAAATTACACCAGCTCATTTTCTCCTTTCTCTTTCCTTTTTTTTTTTTTTTAAAGATTTTATTTATTTACTTGACAGAGAGAGAGAAAGAACACACGCAGGGCAAGCGGCAGGCAGAGGGAGAGGGAGAAGCAGGCTCCCGTGGAGCAGGGAGCCCGATGCGGGGCCTGATCCCAGGACCCTGGGACCATGACCTGAGTCGAAGGCAGATGCTTAACCGACTGAGCCACCCAGGCGCCCCCTCCTTTTACTTTCTACTTGCCAAAACATAACACTAAACTTCCGCCATTTGTGTGCACATATTCACATGCATGCAGACAGGTAAACTGATAAATTCCTCTCCCTGTCACCGTCCCCCCAAACTATAAACATACAGTGATGTATTTTCACCCCACAGCCCCCCACCTGGCCATACCCATCCTCCATTAGCAGCTGCCGGAAGAAGTCATTGGCTGCCAGCTTGATGGCCTTCTCTGGAGTGACCAAGGTTAAGTTCACTGCAGCTCCTGGAAGTGAAAAATGAGGACAAGTTAAGGCCATCTCAGTGGTAAGACTTCTTGGGTCACCTGGCGGGCTCAGTCAGTGGAGCATGTAACTCTTGATCCCAGGGTTGTGAGTTTGAGCCCCATATTGGGTGTAGAGTTTACTTAAAAATAAATTACTTAAAATTAAAAAAAAGTCACAATTCTCTGAATCTGTCACTCATGTAGGCAACCTACTCTCACATCTAGCCAGGCAGGTTTCTGGGAGCAACTGGGGTCTTGTGGGGGAGGCTGTTGAGGAGGGTTCCTCTGCCTATTTTATAGAAACATGAAAGTTTTTTTCATCTCCCTACTTTGACTCTCCTCCCTCCACATTTCCCTTTTGGACGCATGTGTTTCCTTTATGGGCTCATTGGTGCAGTTATTGGGAAGTTATTTTCGTCCTTGCAAGTGCTGCCCATCTCGATGATAAGTGAAGAGTTCCCCAAATCCAGCCCCAATAATAAGGTCCTAAGGGACAGGGGTCGGTTTCCATCGCTCTGGGCTTTACTAGCCCAGTCCCACTGGCAGTTTTGTGAGTTACAGCAGTTTTTATTTTATTTCTCCGGGGTACTAGAATATCAGCTCCTTCTTAACACCAGATTTGTATCCATTTTCCAAGCCCTAATCATGGCGATGTGGCCCTGGATGGGGTCACTGCAGGGGACAGGGACAGCACTGCTTGTGTCAGGGAAAAGCCAATCAGTAACTCCCTGTCAGAAGCTCAAAATCCTTTCCATCTCTTCCCTGTCAGCTTCTTCCCCTTCTGCTTTCATAGCTAATGACCTGACAGCCCTGAATGGGGGCGGGAGCGGGGGTAACCACTTGCTTCCAGCATCACACAGTGGTGCCAGGATGGAAACTGGGGCTCCTGGGCTCCTCAGTGTGCTCACTGGTGCCCCCCCCAAACCTCACCATAACTGCCTGTCTTCACCAAGGAACATGGGGGCTTATAAAAAGCAAATGTGGCTTAGGATCACCTGGTAGCCCAGGCCCCACCCCAGGAGCTCCTTGGGCAGAAGAAACGCCACTTCCCAATGTTCTGTAAAGCCACAGAGTCTGGTGCGCTGGACTGCACCCTCTGTTTTCATTTGGCCCAAGCCAAGCCTCCCCTGGGGTGCATGATAAGCCCACCTCGGTACATGCCCAAGAAGCCTTCTGCCCTAGCAGTTTTCATCAGGCAGTCTATCCTAGAAGCAGAAGCCAGAAAAGGAAATCAGTGGTGAGCAAGAGGATACCCATCAGCACCCCCCCCAACCTGGTGCACTAATTCTTCTGGGCACACCCCAGTTGACTATCTCCCCCCACCCCACTCTACCCCCACAATGCATGCACTCCCTAAATAAAGAGACTGGAAGGAATGAGGGCCCATATCCCTCCCTGGGAGTTCCCCTCTCCCTACTCACCCCATTCCCCTCACCAATACCTACATTCCTTTGTAGATGTCTTTTCCATGCTGGTTCTGCAGTCGAGTCTTGGCCAAGTCGATGGGGAACACACAGGTCACCCCAACAAGCCCTGCCACACCTCCATTGATGAGTTTTGCTGTGACACTAGGCCGTGAGGAGGAGGGAGGCACAGAATGACTGAGGGAGGCAGAGGGACACAGGAGCTCAGAGGGAGGCTGGCTGCAGAAAGCCTCACACACAGCCAGGACAGATGGGGTTGGGGGTGGGGGACAGGGAGGGGAGGACAGGAGAGCAGGAACAGAGGGGAGAAAGGGTAGAACAGCGGCTCCTCCTCCGGGGACCTCAACTCCACACCAGGGACCCCTCTCCTCAGCCTCCTATACCCAACAGCAGCACCTCCCACAGCCAGCCTGGGGCTCCCTCCCCCAGGTCCAGTTACAGAGACAGGTGAGGGCCTGGGGGCCAGGAGTGTCTGGCCACGCCCTCCAGGGGCACTCACCAGGGTTGAGGCATCTTGTCCTAACTCTCCCCAGGGAAATGCTCCTCAAGCTAGGATGCTGCAAAGGCTTTTGGGAAGGAGGCCCAGAGTGCCAACTCTGCCCCCTGGGGCCCCACTGGGGTGTAGGAAGTCCTCAGCTCCCCTCAGAGCTGTCCCTCAGAGCTTCCACCAAGGGCCTGTTCTCCGGCTGGTCCCCCACCTTTAGAGCCACATGTGGGAAAGTTTTCCAACGGACTGCAGTGGCTTAAGTTCAGTCAGGATGGAATTTGAATCCTGGCTATGCTGTTTACTTAAACAAGTTACCTCACTTTTCTGATTCTTTGTTTTTCCCTCTGTAAAACTGGCCTCAAGGGATTTTGTGAGGATTAAGTTAATGCACTTGGTAAATTATAGCTATTATTTGTAATAAGAGAGGGCGCCTGGGTCGCTCAGTTTGTTAAGCAACTGCCTTTGGCTCAGGTCACAATCCCAGTGTCCCGGAATCGAGTCCCACATCAGGCTCCCTGCTCAGTGGGGAGTCTGCTTCTCCCTCTGACCCTCTCCCCTCTCATGCTCTCTCTCGTTCCCTCTCTCTCAAATAAATAAATAAAATCTTAAAAAAAAATAAGAGGGCGTCTGGGTGGCTCAGTTGGTTAAGCGACTGCCTTCGGCTCAGGTCATGATCCTGGAGTCCTGGGATCGAGTCCCGTGTCGGGCTCCCTGCTCAGCAGGGAGTCTGCTTCTCCCTCTGACCCTCTTCCCTCTCGTGTTCTCTGTCTCAGTCTCTCTCTCTCAAATAAATAAATAAATTCTTTAAAAAAAATAAGAGAACACACATTTTTACAATGAGGGCTTCTAGTCAGCACAAGACCACCAGGGCTAAAGTATTCAGATTATCTGATTCTAGCCAAATGTCATGTCAAGTCACACTTTACATAATGTGAGCCCCTCATCCTGGAATTTTGGAAGACTGAAGATAGAAAATAAAGCTTCCTCAGTCTCCTTGGAACCTAGTAGTGTTTTCTTATCTTTCAGGCCAGGGGCAGATTGTGAGCAAAATATTTGCAGGTAGATTACCTGGAAGTAGTAAGAATAGATATTCTCTCACACCTGAACCCTGATAAGCAAACAGACAAGCAACTTTGTGAAAACAAATAGAATTGTGACTGAAATTTTGCAATCTGAGAAGATGCAGTTCAAACAAGGATAAATTTTACATATATATTTTGTATACTGGGGGAAAATGAGTCTCACTTGCTCCTCCCCTGGACTCAGGAACCTGGAAGAGAAGCTGAATGATGTATTGTTACCACAGAAACCCAGCCCAGAGAGTCGGCTGTCTGAGCCAGTTTACCTCAAATCCGGCTTGGACATTCTGCTGGGGGCCAAGGACTGCTGGTGGGTCCCGGCACGGGCTGTCGGCTCCTCACGGGAGATGGCTGGCTGAAGCAGATGTGGTGTCTGTCTCCTTGACTCTGGCCCACCGCAGCAGAATGGATAGAACACAGGTGTCAGTGGAGACTGGCCTGAGCCGCCTTCCCGGCAAGCCTCGGTGGGCTGGTTTCCTCCTCTACAGAGTGGTCAGAACAACACTTACCTCATGGTGTGAGAAACCAAGTATGTGCTGGGACAGAACATTATTAATACATTATTAATACACTGATGCTGCCAACTTGCTTTTTTCCTTTTCCTTCCCGGACCTTCTGGACTTTGGGGATTGAGATCAGAAGAAAGGCAATGAGAGAGGAGGATAGCTGACCCAAACTAAGGCTCAGGGAGAGGAGTTCTGGGGCATCTGGAAGAAGCCCGGGGGAGTGGTGGTGAGGGAAGCTGATGGGTACAAAAGAGGGATATTAAGAAGAGTTGCTATGGACTAGGAATCCCTCTCATGGTGTCCACGAACTATAATAAAACACTTGAAATGTTCTTTAGTTACTTTTTGGCTCTTAAAATGTGTTTTCTAAACTTACTATGATCCTGTTGAAAGACTAAGCTGCTTTTAAGTCTCTGGACTTATTTATAATTGATACATATAGAAAGCACCAGGACGGTGTCAAAAAGTCAAAGCTATAATCATAATAATAATTACAACTTCTGGGGAGGGGTCCTGCTTGACCCCAGGGGGACAGTGTCAGGAAGAGTTCTCCTGAGGCTCCAGTGGAGGCTGGCTTGAGCTCTGAGATGCCTCTCTCCTCCAGGCTCTCTTCAAGCTGCTTTAGGGTTCCCCTCCTCTTACAGGCTCCTCATTGGTCCCTGAGGCTGCCAGCAATTTTCTGTTGTTTCCAAGTATTTTGTATTAGGGAAGAAAAGAGCGAGATCAGTCTTTCTCGTGGTATATATTGATCCATTCAGAAAAAAAATTATTGAGTGCCAGGCACTGACTGTTCCAGGTCTGGGGATATAGTAGTGAACTAAAGGGCACAATCCTAGTTCTCAGGGGCTTAAATTCTTTTTTTTTTTTTTAAGATTTTTTATTTATTCATTTGAGAGAGAGAGAGTGCACAAGCAGAGGGGAGGGTCAGAGGCAGAGGGCGAAGCAGATTCCCCCCTGAGCAAGGAGCCAGATGTAGGGACTTGATCCCAGGACCCCGAGATATGACCTGAGCTGAAGGCAAATGCTTAACTGACTGAGCCACCTAGGCACCCCTCAGGGGTTTAAATTCCAAAGCAGCAGAGAGACAATAAATGAAATAAGTAAATCCTAAGGAAACCAGATAGTGATAAATACTCCAGAGAAAAATTTAGAAGGGAAGGAAGATAGGAAATGTCAGTGGGGTGGGGGCTCGGTGGCTTGACCAAGAAAGGATTCATTGAGGTGACTTGAGGATTCAAAGGAGGTGAGAGAGCAAGCCATGTAGATATCTGGGAAAGAACACTCAGGGCAGAACAAGTGCAAAGGCCCTGAAAGACAGAGTGAGGCTGGTGACCAGAAGGAACAGCAGGATGGTCAGTGAAGAGTGAACAAGGCGTGAGTAATAAAGACAAAGTCACAGAGATAATGGGTGGAAGCGTGACCCTGGAAGGCCTCAGAAGGTCTTTGGCTGTTATTTGGAATGAAAAGAGAAACAAATGGAGAGTTTTGAGCAAAGAAATGACATGCTTTTGACAGGACCATTTGGCTGCTGTGTTGAGAATAGAGAGCAGAGGGCCCAAGATAAAAGTGGAAAGACCAATTAAATTATTGCAGGAATCTAGGCAAGAGGTCATGGCTGCTGGTCGGGGGTGGGGTGGGTGGGAGAGTAGTTTAATTATGGATGTATGTTGGGGCACCTGGGTGGCTCAGTAGGTTAAGTGGCTGCCTTTGGTTTAGGTCATGATCCCGGGGTCCTGGGATAGAGTCCTGCATCAGGCGCCCTGCTTGGTGGGGGGTGGGGGGTGTTGGCGGGGGAGCCTGCTTCTCCCTCTCCCTCTGCTCCTGCTAGCTCTCTCTGTCAAATAAATAAATAAAATCTTTTAAAAAAAAATTATGGATGTGTACTGAAGGCCAGGCCACCAGGACTGCCGGATGGACCAGATGTGAGACACAAAAGTAGTTAAGTTGTTGGTCTGAGAAACTGGAAGAATGGTTTTGTAACATGGTGTTTGGACCTAGAACAGGTAAAAACTTGGATCTGTTGGAGAAATAGGAAGTTGGTCTGCAGAGAAAGAAACAGAAAAGTGATGCAAGCACATGTGGAAGAGAAACAGAAGACGGAGATTGTCCTAATGTTGTTTCAAATCCCAGTTTCCAGTTCACTCCTTAATGCCGATCACATTCCTGTCTTTGGATTCTGTGACACACTCAACTGTCTTGTCAATCAATTAGGTCATTATTGCTTAACTTGCTAGAATGTATATCTGATACACCCACCCAAAAGAGACTTAATTATCCCCAAAACTAGCAAAGGAAGGAGGATTTGCAAATTACAGACCCTAAAGCATGGACTCGGCTGAGAGAAAGCAGGGCCCAGGATGGGGGGCTGGCGAAGAGCCCCTCCTCATCCCTGGAGGCTCCAACCATGTCCTCTGAGAGCTGGAGCTTTAGGGAACTTGGGGGAAAATGTCAAGAAATTCAAGTGTACCCACTGTTCTTTGAGACACTTATTAAGTTGTTAGGAGAGAAAGATATGTTGTAATTCTAGGTAGCCACCTTAAAAATGAACAGGAAACAACAGGACAAGTATGAAACCCTGTCAGTCTGAAACCAGAGACTCAAATAATTGAGAAACTTGCAGCCATATTCTCTGCGTTTTCTAAATTACTAATTTCTAAATTACTAGCTTATAAATTGTGGTTCACTGGCTTTTGGAGCAGGGATATTTAAGGGAAGCCAGAGAAATTAGGGACACCCCAATCCCAGGGCCACTAGCACTTCCACGCGGCAGGTGTGATAATGGGATGTGATAATGTCTCCAACCTTCAAGTGCATTCACCTGTTGGTATGTCGCGAGCGTGTGTGTAGCAGGGACCAGCCTCAACCCCCAGCCCGAGACTGGGCCAGGCCACTAGAAGTCCCAGGCCCATAGTTCCCTGGAACAGACTTAGTATTCAAAGGCTATGCCTTGACAAGATTTCTGGCACCCGTGAATGCATTAGCAAACCAAGTCAACAAAGAGGAAACTGACAGTCAGCCAGCAAAGGTTTTAAAGGAGTCATCACCACAAAAATCCCACACTTGGCAACAGGGTCCATATTTGCTCAGTCCTTAAGGCAATCCATAGGCCCAAGTGTTAGTCATTTTACAAATACTTGTGGAGGGCCTACTGTGTGCCGGTCACAGTTCTAGGCAGCAGGGATATAGTTGAGAACAGTAACAAGGTCCCCGCTTTCTCGGAGTTTAGGGTACTCCTGGTTCTAGCCCTGATAGGAATAGACTTGCAGAGTGTTACAGCATGCCCTCCCACCGGGCACTCCTCGGCACTGTTCTCTCCATATGGGACCTGAAGGATCCTTGGCAAGGGAAATTCTTCCAGCAAACCAGACCCTGAGGCAGCCATTTTCCTGACCAAGGAGCTCCCTACATTGCAAAAGAATTTAGCAAACAAATGGATATTCATTAAATTATCTAGCCTTTTTTTTTAAGTTTATTTATTTTTTAGTAATCTCTCACCCAACTTGAGGCTCAAACTCAGGACCTCAAGGTCAAGAGTCACGGGCTCCTCTGACTGAGCCGGCTAGGTGCCCCTAAATTATTTAGTCTTATCACTTAAGGAGTGCTCTATGCGTTAGACTACTGAACAATAGATAATATATATATATTTTTTAGAAGATTTTATTTATTTGGGAGCGAGAGAGCGCAAGCAGGGGGAGGGACAGAGGGAGAGGGAGATGCAGGCTCCCCGCTGAGCAGGGAGCCCAACATGGGACTTGATCCCAGAACCCTGGGATCATGACCTGAGCCAAAGGCAGATGCTTAACCAACTGAGCCACCCAGGCACTCTCTCCTTTCTTTTTTAAATAGAATTTAGAAAAATAGAGTATTTGGGGAGGGTTGGGGTAGTAATACTAATTATTTAAGCACTGGGACACAGAATTATGAGGATCTACATCTGCAGCTCTCTGGGACCAAGGTGGGGAAGGATTGGATATATTTAAAAAAAAAAATCTTTATCTGGATAACAGAGGCTCCCTGTTATTGCCTCTGGATGCAGTATCTGGTCATGACATTGAGTTATCACATTGGGAAGATAAGTGCATTTATAATTTGACACATGATTATTGAACCATATTAGAAGGAGGAAATTTAAGGGCGCCTGGCTGATTCAGTCGGTAGAGCATGTGACTCTTGATCTTGGAGTTGTGAGTTCAAGCCCCACACTGGGGGAAGAGATTACATAAAAAAAAAAAATCTTAAAAAAAAGAGGAAATCTGGTTGTATGGGAAATGGTATCTGTTTGCATGTCCTCAGGCATCAAAGGGTAGAATGTAGTGATATACATGTTGGATTTCTTCATTACCCCATTTCCAGGAAACTCCCTTCTCCCTCACCATTCATCTGGTGGGGACTGCTATATTCCTAAAATGTGACAATATTCTCCTGGGTAATGTTGATTATATGAGGATGGGCCCCTGATTTAAGCTAGGTTTTTCAATCTTCTCTATAGGTATTTTAGAAAAGAGAGAGATTGTGTAGCCTCTTTCAAGTTTTTGTCTGTAACATGTAACACTTGTAACATAAACACATCTGCAGTCATGTTTACTGTAGTGTAGTTTGGGAAACTGAGAGATGATTTTGTAGCAAGAGATTTATGAATGAAGCAGAACCACAGGAGAGAGGGCAGAGCTCTGAAACCCTGACCACAGTGACCCACTTCCTTCCTGACCTTAGGAACCAAAGGGATATTCCACTGTCACTCTAATGAATTAACCTATTGTCTTTTTGTTGTTGTTTTGGGGCTTTTTTGTTTGTTTTGAATTGACTTATTGTTTTAAGCAAATTAGAATTAGTTTTTGTAATTGGGTAGCCAAGGAATTCTTAATAAACAAAACTTTTAAAGAACTCTCAAATTCCATTCCATTACAGTTGAGCTGCTTAGACGGTGAATACTGTAAGCGTTCAGAGATGGGCAAGGTCATTCTGGGCTGGCTTGGAGAGGGATCTAGACGTGGCCTTAAAAAATAAGGGCAAGTTGATAAGGAGAAGACGAAGGGGAGGCGGCCTGGATGCGAAAACTTTGTGAGCACAGGGGACCAAGCAAAGGGCTGAGGGACAGCTCACTGCTCTGGCTGGCTCACCAGAACGGCAGAAAAGGGCTGCAAAAGTAGGTTAGGCCAGGTGTGGAGAACCCTGGGCTTCCCCGAAACAGTTTGTGCCCCCCAAATTAAGTAACTTTTCACAAATTTGATCCTATAGGCAGTAAGAAAACACTGAATGCTTTTAAGGGGGGAACTACCATGTCGAAGGTTGGATGAGGAAAATAATTCAGGAAGAATAGGTTGAGAAAAGGAAATTTCCCCTGAGAGACCAGTTAGGTGGCATCATGGCAAAGCAATGAAGTCGAGAGAAAAGGATTAGGGTGGTGGAAGGTGCAGAGGATAAGGGATAGCTGGGAGAGAACTTTTTTTTTTTAAGATTTTACTTATTTGACATAGAGTGAGTGAAAGCAGAAACAGGGGAGCAGAGGGAGAGGAGAAACAGACTCCTGCTGAGCAGGGAGCTGGATTCCGGGCTCGCTCCCAGGACCCCAGGATCATGACCTGAGCCGAAGACAGACGCTTAACTGACTGAGCCACGCAGGCGCACCTGGGAGAGAACTTTTTAAAGAAAAAAGGGCCTGGATGTGGCAACTGTCCAGAGCTGAAGAACCACGGAGTTGGGGGAAGCCGGAAACCTGAGGCTCGGAGGAACTGAAAGACAGGCAGGCTAGGAGAGGAAGCTGCCCAGAGGGAGGGAGAGGCACTTGGAGAGAAACCAGGACTCTGGGAACTGTGTCCTCCAGCT